GGTCGTCTGGTCAGTGATTGGTGCGTGGTGTCTCGGGATGTCGGGCGTCGGGTCGATCGGCTGGGAAGCATCGGACATGCGGGGCGCATTGGAGTCGAGGTCGTTTGGCAGGATTTGGGGTTGTCGTCGGTCTCTCTGGGGCACTGTAGGTTCGGTGCCGAGTCTTCCTATTATGGCGGTCAGGGTGCGTGTCTTGGTGTGTCGCCATTGTGGGAGTGGTTGTGCTCCCAGAGCTGCGGCGACACGGCGGGCAGCAGGACCCGCGGCCCCTCCGAATTCGACTGCGAGGCTACGATGGACACCCCTGGCGGCAGCGATGCGGAAGTGGTCTGCAGCGGTACCAATCTCAGTGATCCAGCCCGAGATGACCTTCTGGACATTCTCGAGCGGGGTGAGCTCGGCAACCACGATGCGAATGACACACGGGCCGGCGTCACGGTCGAAGCCCGTCGCGTTAACCAGGGGCTCCTTGAGGACGATGTTGGCCGCCACGAGGAAGGCGTTGAGCTTCTGGAATATCGCCCTTGAGAAAAGCCATGGTTGAATCGTGATCATACGGTCGAGATACAGCGGCCCGCATGCGAATGTGGAGCCCACACAACCTGCTCCTGCAGCTTCCGCGGCTGACCATCAGTACGCTTAGACGCAGCATCATCCACCATTTTGGGATTTGTTCGCACACCCGCCGCCAGAGTGGCAGCGTTTTTGTCGTGCGCCTCGAGCTGCTCCGCGAAAAGGCTGACGGCAGAGGCGACAGAAACGGTGATGGTCTCCAGCATGGCCTCCTTGTGATCGTTGAGCAGCTAGGTGAGCTCTTCTTTAACCACGCGCCGATAATATTCATCACGCGGTTCATCATCCTCCTCCCACATACTGACAGACCACCCATAGCGTCACCAGTGGAGCCGCCAGCAACAGGAGGAATGCCAGCGCAAGGGTCGTGATCAGCAACACGGGCACTAGCTGGGGCAGAATCGCCGCCAGGAAGATCCTCGGCTGCGCACTCGCCATCAGCAGGAGGCTTCGGATGGGCCGCATTGAGCTACTTCTTGAACTTCTTCCTCGCGTCCGCTTTGAGAACCGGTCCATCCACGGGCATCGGTCGACGGCCACGCGCGCCGAGGGCAAAATGGCTACGCGCGCAGAAGGGACTGTCCGCGGATCAGCGGTCTCCACGTAGCCGCAAGGCGGCTTGGAGACTTGAACCAAAACGGCTACGGAAGAGGAGGAGGAGAAAGAGAAAGAGGAGAAGGGCACATGACTCCGACGTCATGATTCTTCACGCGGGCACCCACAGGTATAGCCCCTTTCCCCCGTGCCCCCGTTCTACAGCTTTCCATGTCATATGCATATACACGTACAGGCAGCCCATATAGTAAGGATGCGCGGTAAGGTTGCAAGGGCCTTGGCCGCCCATGCCGAATCTGCTCGAGCGGTTCGGCCATCGAAAGTGGTTGAGGCTGGGCCGAAGATGATCGATGAGGCAAGGATGCAAGGGTACCCTTTGTAAGCCGAGCATCACTAATATCAGTGCTGACTGTAAACAAGCGTTGCGCTTCTTGTGCAAAGCGGGGAGGTCCGGGGGGAAGGAGAGGAAAGGAGGCGGAGGAGGAGCCACAGGCGCGCCCGCCAGCATAAACTCGGGATTCGGTCGGCCGCGGACAACGGCCGCGCGCAGCGCTGGCAAACCCGCACAGCGCCGGACTCTATTAGTACAGATGGGAGAGAGCGTGATCCACCGCCGCTTCACTGTGGACCCCCTCCGAAATTCTCCCCCCCCTGCTGGACCCCCCCCCCCCTCCCCCCCCGGCAAAACTCCCCGTCCCCTAACCCCCCCTCCCCTCCTCCCTCCGCCGGAAAACCAGGAAAACCAGGGGGGGTCACTACCGGTTCGACCCCCCCCCTTCGGAAAACCGGGGGGGGTCACTTCCGGTTCGAACCCCTCCTCCCCCGGCCCCCCCTCAGAAAACCAGAGGGGGGCCACTACCGGTTCGAACCCATCCCCCCTATCCAGAAAACTAGAGGGGGGTCACTACAGGTTCGAACCCCCCCCCCTCCCCCCCCTCCCTCGAAAACAGGAGGGGGTCACTACCGGTTCGAACATCCCCCCCCCTCCCTCGAAAACCGGGGGGGTCACTACCAGTTCGAACCCCTCACCCCCTCGCCGCCGCTGGCAAACGATTCCCGCTCCTCGGACAGTTGGACAATGGTGGGGATGCTGGGACAGTGGTGGGAACGGTGGTGGTGGGGACAGTGGTGCGGGGACAGTGGGACAGTAGTGCGGACAGTGGCGGGGACGCTGGTGGTGGGGACAGTGGTGAGGGGACAGCGGGACAGTGGTGGGGACAGTGGAACAGTGGTGGGAACGGTAGTGGTGGGGACAGTGGTGAAGGCGGTGGTGAGGACAGTGGTGGGACAGTAGTACAGTGGGGAAAATGGTGGGGTCAGTGGGGGCAGTGATGGGGACAGTGGGGACGGTGGGGCAGCACAGTGGGACAGCGGCGGGGACAGTGGGACACTGGTGGGTACAGTGGAAACAGTGGGACAGTGGTGGGGACCGTTGGGAAAGTGGGCAGAGTGGGACCGTGGTGGGACAATGGTGGGGAGAGTGGGGACAGTGAGACACTGATGGGGGCACTGGTGGGGACAGCGGGGACAATGGTGGGAACAATGGGGACAGCGGGACAGTGGTGGGGACGGTGGTGGTGGGGAGGACCGTGGTGTGGGGACAGTGGGAATGTGGTGGAAACAGTGGGACAGTGGAGGGTACACTGGTGGTGGGGACAGTGGTGAGGGCGGTGGCGAGGACGGCGGTGGGATAATGGGACAGAGGTACAGTGGGGACAATGGTGGGGACAGTGGTGGGAACAGTGGGCAGCTCAGTGGGACAGCGGCGGGGGCAGTGGGACAGTGGGACAGTGGTTGGAGCCGTGGAGAAAGTGGGGAGAGTGGAACCGTGGTGGGAGCAGTGGTGGGGACAGTGGGGACAGTGGTGGGGGCATTGGTGATGACAGTGGGGACGGTGGTGGGAACAGTGGGGACAGTGGTGGTGAGGACAGTGGCGCTGGGGACAGCAGTGGGGGATGTGGTGCGGACGGTGGTAGGGACCCGGGAGTCGTTTGCTGGCGGTGAGCGTGGGGGGGGGGGGAGGGGTTCGAACCGGTAGTGACCCCCCCGGTTTTCGAGGGGGGGGAGACGGTTCGAAGACCCCCCCTCGGTGTTCGAGGGAAGGGGGGGGGGGATTCGAACCGGTAGTGACCCCCCCCGGTTTTCGAGTGAGGGGTGGTGGTGGGGGGGTTCGAACCGGTAGTGACCCCCCCCAGTTTTCTGGAGGGGGGAGGGGTTCGAACCACGGGTAGTGACACCCCTCTGGTCTTCTGAGGGGGGGGGGTTCGAACCTGTAGTGACCCCCCCCGGTTTTCGAGGGGGGGGGCTCGAACCGGTAGTGAACCCCCCCCCTTAACATGATGGACTGGGATGGGGGGAGGGGTTCGAACTGGTAGTGACCCCCCCCGGTTTTCGAGGGGGGGGGGGGGGGACCGGGTTGGGAACCCCCAGTGACCCCCCCCTGTTTTCCGCCAGCAGCGGTAGAACACGCTCTTTTACAGATGGCAACCTGGCAGCCGTGGCAATGCGGATAATCAGATGCAGCTTCCTCCTCCTCCTCTTCCTCCTCGTCCTCCTCCTCCTCCTCCTCCTCTTCCTCCTCCTCCTCCTCGATGGTGGCGATGGGGGTAGTGCTGACGTGTATGGCGCTCTCGCCGCGGCGCCTGCCGCAGTCCCTTCTCTACTGACGTATCCTCCCTCCGCTGGGCGGGTGCAGACGTGCCGCCGCCCCCAGGAAGGACTCCCAAGGACCCGCGTGCCTCACTGGAGGGCAGAGGCCCCCCGAGAAGCGCGGGGCGCCCGCTGCCGTCGTCGTCCTCGTGCTCACTGCTCGTGCTCCTCGGCTTCCTCCTTGGCTTCCTCCCTGGCTTCGCTCCTTGGCTTCCTCCCTGGTTTCCTCCTTGGCTTCCTCCCGGTCGTCCTCCTCGGCTTCCTCCTTGGCTTCGCTCCTGTTCATCCTTCCCAGATTCTCCATCTCCCCCTCCTCCATCTTTTCACTTAGACCCTGGGCACCTCAGGCTGGAAAGGAAGTCCACGGGTCAGGATCTCACTCGACATCTGGAGTGGCGAACAGGAACACAGGGAGCACAACTGAATGGCAGGGGAGGGATGGGTAGTATGCCAGATGTGTCGCGAGCCCACCTATATTGAGCCTCCCTCCCCTCTCTTCTATCTATATCCCTGATCCCAATCGCCTCCTCTCTCCTACCCCCTCCTCCATCTCCATTCCCACCGCTTACTCTTCTTCATACTTCTCGTCGCCGTTCTCAGTCTCCCACTGTTTCTGTATGAGCGATCCTCAGATTATGTCTTGATCCTTTTTCCTTGTGTTTCATCATCCCTCAGCCTCCCTCTTCCTCCCACCCTCCCTGGCCTTTCGAACCCCCATTGCCCACTATATCCTCCTAGCAGCTAGCCCCCAGATCCCAAGCAACTCCTTGAACAAGTTTACTCCCTCCCCTCCTCCGTCCCTCCTCTTGCTCCCCACCATCTTTTCAACGTCCTCCTCCTTCTCCTCCACCTGCTGCTCCTCTTCGTCGTCCTCCTCCTCCTTCTCCTCCACTTGCTCCTCCTCCTCATGCTCCTCCTCCTCATGCTCCTCCTCCTCCTCCTCTTTCTCCTCTCTTTCCTCCTTCCTGCTGCCTCTCCCTCGCTCAGCCATCTTCCCGTACTGCCGATGTTCCTCCTGCGCCTCCTCCTTCTCCTCCTCCTGCTCCTCCTCCTCCTCCTCGGCCTCCTCCTGCTCCCCCTCCCCTCTCCTCCCTCTTTCTCGTCCCTCCCTTCCCCTTCCGTTCTCCCACCCGCTCCCCCTGCCCACCCCATCCGTTTTACCCTCCCTTCACCCCTCGCCACTCCCGCCCTCGCCTCGCGTTCCCCCTCCCTTCCCCTCTCCTGCCCTCGCCTCCCCCCGGCCCTCCGCGACCGAAGCCTCGAACACGCCCCTACAGGTCACCCGCCCGAGGGCGGCGGCGCCGGGGCCTCTTCTCCTCCTCCGGCGGGCCCGCGTCGGGAGGCCCGGCGCCGGGCTCCTAGGGAGGAGAAGGAGGAGGAGGAGGAGGAAGAGGAGGAGGAGGAGAAGGAGGAGGAGGAGGAGGAGGGAGGAGGAGGAAGAGGAAGGAGGAGGAGGAGGAGGAGGAGGAGGAGGAGGAGAAGAAGGATGAGGAGGAGGAGAAGAAGGAGGAGGAGGAGGGAGGAGGAGGCGGAGGAGGAGGAGGGGGGACCTGGGGCGGGGGGACGGGAAGGCGGGAAGGAGGGGGCAGGAGGGTGGAGGAGGAGGAGGCAGGAGGATGAGGAGGAGGAGGGGGGGGAGGAGGGGGGGGGGGAAAGGGGGGGAGAGGGAGGGGTACTGCTTACTGTTATCGCGAGTATACTGCGCACGTTGCTGCCGAAGAAAGGTGGGCCCAAACTGTTGTTAGAAGAAGAAAAAGGAGGGAACATGATGTATCACCTGATGGGCGGAAAAGGATTGCGGTTAGAACCGCTTCGCAGCCACCGCCACACCACAGCGTCCAGCAAAAGATGGAGGAACATGCTCCGATGCCGCACGTAACCCTGTATCCGTCCTACCCACAGGAGCTAACCCACGCATGCTTTCACAAAGCGTTACTGCGCGGGGCAATCTCCGTTCCACAAGAACGCGCCGCCGAGTCTCGGCTGACACGACGATACTTCGGATTCGCATCATCTAGTTCAGTTACGCGCGATGCTTGGCGGAGGCCCCCGGATGTGCATATCACTCCAAACAAGGTCCCGCTGTGAGCCTCTGGCTGTGGGCGTCTGAGTGCGAGAGCGAGTCTGAGTAGACGACGAATGCGACGACGCCGGCGGCGGCTGCGAAGATGGGCGGCGGGGACGACAATTCACAGACAAACTGGCGGTGGGCAGGCCCCCTCCCTCTCATTGGCCCGCCCAGTGGCCAGAGTGGCCTGGTGGCGCAGTGTGGTCGTGCCCCCCATTCTTTGTCTTCTCGCGCGCGGCCGATGCGCAGCAGTCCCTGGCTCTGGCCGCAAACGCCGCTCGGCTCATCGCCGCGGCTGGACGCGAGCCGATGGAACGAGGGAGGGTGCCTCGGTCTGGGTCCCATCCTTTTGTCTTCCTCCCTCCCTCTTCCTGCGTTCCCCTCTTTCTCATTCCCTTCAGCCTCTTGGGGCCCCTCAAAAGGCCGCCCAAAAAACACCTCGAACAACTTGATCCTCGATCCTCTCCGCCAGGGGTCGCTTCCAGGGCAGGGGAGTAGGAGAAATACCTATACGACCGCCCTGCGGGCGATAAGGAGGTTGGGTGGGGATTGAGATCAAATGCCCACCCTGACTGACCTCCAGCCTGTCACCTTGATCTCATCTCTCTCTTTCTCTCTGTCTGTCTCTCTCTCTCTCTCTGTGTCTGACTCTCTCTCTCGCCCTCTCTCTCTCTCTCTCCCTCTCTATCAAAATCTCCCTCCACCACAATGATGATCGCGATGACGATGAGATCCCACTATCGACCTATCCGTCGACCGACCTGTCGGTGAATCTCACGGTCGATCTCACTACCGACCTCAAAAGCAAAATGAGAAAGCTCGCCGCAGGCGCCGAACAACGATTTGTTGTCGGACAACCACAGGACAACCATCGGCACAACCATGGATTGGATAAGATAAGCTGGACTTGATAAGAAAGCCCGCCGCAGGCGCCGACAAAAATGAATTGATGTATTGGGTTGGGTGGATTGGATTGGATGGGATCAGATGGACTGGATAAAATAAGATGGGTTGGATTGGAAAAGATGGGTTGAAGAAGATAAGATGGATTGTATTGGCCCGCCGCAGGCGCAGAAACAAATGAATTGATGGATTGGATAGGATGGATTGGATTGGGTGGGATGAGATAATATGGGAAATGATGGGTTGGATAAGATAAGATTGATTGGATTGGACAAGCTGAATTGGATAAGATAAGCTGGGTTGGATAAGAAAGCCCGCCGCAGGCGCCGACAAAAATGAATTGATTGATTGGGTTAGGTGGATTGGATTGGATGGGATAAGATGGGTTGGATAAGATAAAATGTGTAGGATTGGAAGAAACGTATTGGCTATGAAAAGATGGGTTGTATTGGCCCGCCGCAGGCGCAGAAATAAATGAATTGATGGATTTGATTGGGCGGATTGGATTGGGTGGGATAAGATGAGATGGGACAATGTGGGTTGGATAAGACAAGATGGTTTGGATTGGACAAGATGGATTGGATAAGATAAGCTGGATTGGATAAAAAGCCCGCCGCAGATTCCGAAAAACATGAATTATGAAATTAGCGACATGCATTAGCGCCGGGACGCCCGGGACACCCGGGACACCCAGGACACCGCCCGGCCCAACTGGGACACGTCCCAGCCACCGGCGGACGGGAAACAAACGGACTTTCGCTCCTACTGACACCCGGGACACCCGGGACACCGCCCGGCCCAACTGGGACACCTCCCAGCCACCGGCGGACGGGAACGGACTTTCGCTCCTACTTCGGCCTAGCTACAGCAGGATCATGCGCAGCTTCGCTTCGCCCGCCCGCACGACACGAACGCGAAACAGAAACCGATTTCCCGGTGGGGGGTCTCCGTTTCACTGCGATATCACCCCCCAACCTCCGATTGAATAAGAAAAAGGCAAGAAAAGGAAGAAGAGGAAAGGCAGACTGGGTGAGCCTGAATGTGGGCTTCCGTGGGCTTCCGTGGACTTCCGCGGCCCCATCATAAACGTGATTTCGACCGGATCTCGTTCAGATTCCGACCGCCTCTCTTCGCCCTGCCGTCCAGATTTCGGCTTGATGTCGACCGCGTCCAGACGAGACCCCCCAGGCCACAAGCAATGTTGGGACCCCCCCGTGGCCCCCACGAGGGACCGCGCAAGGTGATTAGAGAGAGGATGACGGGGGGAAGGGGGGGGCATGAGGAAGGGGGGCTAGGAGAACAAGGGGGGAGGAGGCAAGGGAGGGAGGAGGCAAAAGACGGGGGGAGGGAGAACAGCCCTCGCCACCGAGGGGGCCCCCATCCGCCCACGCCGAAGCCGCGCCGCCGGAGCCGCCCGCTGCCCGAAAGAAGCCAGAACTCGCACCCGTGCCGTGGGAAATTCGGGGCGTGGGGCTGGAGTCGCTGTCGAGTATCGTTTAACCGATCCCCATCCCCAGCGGCGTGGCCTGGGCCCCACACTTGCCGATTTCCCCCCTTAGATGGGGGCATAGGTCGTTCCCTTCGGGTTTCGAGGGGTGAATTCCCAAGGGGTGGTAATTTGGTGGGGGTCTCGAAGGGAATGGGGATGGGGAAGGGGGATCGGTTTAACGATACTGAGCTGTGTTCAGTGAAGGGCAGTCTTCCGAGGCGCCTGTGACCGCGGCAGCGAAACTGTCAGAAGAACTGGCAACATGCACGACGCCCAGGCCATCCCCCATCTGATCCACAATATCCGCATAAACGCCAGGAAGTAGGACAGGCGGATGGGACCGAGAACAGCACAAGAGGAAACACGAGCTGGCTCGGCGAAGATGGGTCCACCTCGGTAGAAGCGGGGGTGGGCGGGTAGGAGCGACTCTGGTACCAGGTCAGCTGCTCAATTTTGCTCCACGACTTCCGCACGCGAGCCCGTTACATCTGCCAGAAACGTCGCCCCATCTGCAATTCCAACCAGCTCCAAGAGCTCCGCGTGAACTTCCATTATGCCCACCAGCGGGGGGTCATTGTTGGGGTCTGCGGGTGCCGACATCATCAGCACGTTGAAGGTGTGTTCCTGAGCCGGAGAAATCTGGACATGCAAGATCGTCCAGAGCACCGTCGTCCATCTCGTCAGATGGCGCCATCAAGCTTTCAGCGCCCGCTTGAATATGAGGCGGGCTCGCTCCCGAGAAATGGGTTGGAGCGCCAGTGGAAGAGGCGCCCGCCATCAGACCGCCTGGATAAATCCCAGCAGAAGCACCCAGCTCAGCTGGTACCGCGGCGTCATATCCATAGAAGTTGGCCGAATCGCTTCGCCCGAGCTCCTCGTCTCTCTTTCTTTCTCCCTCTCTCTCTCTCTCTCCCCCCCTCTTTTTCTGTGTCTCTCAATCTCTCTCTCTCTCTCTCTCTCTCTCTCTCTCTTGCCTGTGCAATCATGCATCGCATAATGCACTGAAGGTTGCGCAGCAAGAGCTGGCGCACCAGGCAAAGCAGGCAACGGTTGGGCGGGGGTCTCCACGGGGCCATGTGCGCCAACGGCTAGCAGAAGAACGTCACCAGCAAATGCAGAATCAAGAAAGGCAGCGCCGGCAAATCCCAATCCTGGGATCGACGGCCCACCATCACCCGCGCCAAGCATGCCCGCATCCGCATCAATGCCAGCAGGGGGGGGGGTGCTAGAGCGAGGAGGCGCAGGACCGCTGGAGCTGCCTGCGGGCCGCGGCGACGCCGCGCGCGCCGACGCTCCCAGGGTCGTTGGAGTGGCAGTCGAAACCCTCGTCGGACACGGCATCGTCCTCGGGCAGTCGTTGCAGCGACGCCGCCCATGAGTTCCGCCAGTGCCACAGGGTCCGCTTCAATCGAAGAAGACGCGCCCGGCGCGCGAGGGCGAAGAGGGCGGATGCGAGGGGGCGAGCGCGCGCCGCCGCCCCACCCCCCTCCCATGCCGCGCGACATGTGTTCCAGCGCTCCACGCGACCTGCGGGCCTTCTCAGCAGGGCAATGAAGGGCAATCCCACGCCAATCCGACGCAGAAAACGCGCGCGAAGGTCGAGCGGCATCCTGAATTGGGTCAGGGGCCCATTGAAACATCGTCACATGCCCCAATTCGTTATGCCTAACAAGGCGGTTAACAGCTGCATCCACATCGAGAAGTTCGGAACGGTGCACCCCGAACGCAAAATCAACGCACCAGTCATGTCCAGCGTAGACGTCGTCGACCTGGCCCACGTTGTAGATAGAAGGACGCAAATATGTAACTCGCGGAATTGCGCGGTCGGCGACTTCGCGCCACTCCCTATCCGCAGTCTGGGCGAGGTCGCCCTTGCTCTCGCCGCGGGCTCCCAAGCGTTCCGCGTTGATGCGGGCGCCGGCTCCCCGTTGGCAGGCCGAACTTGAGCCCGTCGGGATGCCGCCGTCTTCTGAACCTGCCTCGGCGCCGCCGGCCCCCTTCAGGCGGCGGGTTCGCGCCGTCTCCTGCCGCCTCTTGAGAGGGCGGCCGCGGCCCTGGATTGACGCCTCGACGACGCGCGCGCCCGGGCAGTTGATGGGCTCGGGGGGCTTCTGATCTGCGCGCGGCAGCCTCTGAGTAGGACCTGCTGGCTGCCGCTAGCCAGGGCGATGGCTCGCCGTCAACTCCAAACGTAGCCTTCGCGGGCGGTCTGCGCGTAATCAGATGGTTTCTCAAATTTCTCACGCGCGAATCCCGATGGAATCCTGGGCCCCGAGGGGCACGCGGGTGGCCCTGGACGGCGGCTCGATGGGGCGCGGCGCTTCGAGGGGCCTGACCACGCGTGGAACGCGCCAGTCGATTCAACCGTCGCAATCTTGCCAGATCCCGCCCCTTCGGTCGTGAAGAACCACTTCGCAGCGTGCCTCTCGAAATGATGGATGACTTTTCATACTTCGGCAGCGCCGCGCCCGGGGGGGGGGGGCGGGGGCGGGGGGGGCCTTGCTCATCGCTCGCTTGACTGGGGAGAGATGAAGCCAACGGCGCCGCGCCGCCAGCTGCGTCGCCCATGTCTGCCTTGGGGAATCCGAACAAAAGCCGAAGACCGCCTGCCCTCACTGTGGCAGACTTGCAGCTTGTTGGGCACAACTGCGAGATGACTGACGTCGAGATGGGCAGCGCGCCGCGCGCGGCGGTTATCCAAGAGAAGCCAGGCGCGCCAGGCCACAGCATTAGCCAGCGCCTCTCTCCGCGCCATGAATCGCGAAGATGGCGTTCGCGATGCCCGACTCGTGGAAGCGCGCCGCTTTCCGCGTTGTCATCTGCCCACGCCGCCGCATAACGAGCGCGAGTTCCAGGCGACGGACGAGGGGGCAACCGGCGGCGTTGGGGGGCCGCTGTCAACTACGCGCTTGCAAATGCCGTCAAAATTGCTGGAAGGACCGCCGAGCCACGGCCGTCGGCTCGATGACCTGCGCGTAGATGCCGAAAAATTGTCCTCTAGTCCATCTGCGTTGAGCTCGCGCGGCGTCGCGCCAAAAACACTTGGTAGGATTGGGCCAGGCTGGGGCTTCAGCCGGGGAACATGGATCGGGCTCTGACAGAAAAAAACATTCTGACAGGCGAAGAAGAACTTCTGATCGGAAAAGCGTTGGTGCAATACTTTGGCAATCTTCTCGCCTGTGAAATTCATCTTGATGTGAACAAGGCTCTTGTCGGACCCTCCGCGAAGCGCGGCGAAGCCGCCGGGTGCTGCAGGGGCGGGGGAACAAACCGTAGACTCGAAGCGGAAAGAGCTGTCTGCACCTCTCGCTAGCAATGTCGCGCGCACTCGTGAACTGGACGCAACATCTGCGACGGCATTTTTTTGTCGACACATCCATGAAGGAACAGAATTTCACCGGGAAACCCATGCAGGCAGGAACCCCGAAAGCGCAGCGCAGCCGCGCAGGGCCCCTGGCAGCCTATGCCACTCGCATACCACAGCGCTACCGCCGCAGCTCATCAAGGGGGATAGCTGTCCGAGCCAAGGGCGCGCCGCACACGAGGGAAACACCTGCGAGCGCGACCCTGAGAGGAGAAAAGGGGGCCAAGCCGCTCTACAACGCAGCCTGGCCCGAAAAGGCGCCCTCAGTCCCACTCCTCTGGGAAGCGGGCTCTCATCCTTCGCCCTGGCTACGAGTTGCTCCCAGATCCACTCGGGGCCCGCGCGCCGGTGCTCTGCGCTGGGCACCTCTAGCGGCGCCGCGTCTGGGTCCTTCTCCCAGCCAGGCCTGCGAAGGCTGCGCTCCGCGTCGAGCAGCTTCCGCTGCTTTTTAAACTCCCTCTTCTCCTTGCTGCCGAGCGCGCGAAGGCCGGCGGCAGGGGCAGCCTGCTGAGCCGCCACTTCTTCGCCCTCCGCGCTGATCCCCTCTTCGAGCACATCCAAGGCGAAGGTCTTCACCGCCTCCACGGGGGCGACCTCCTCCAAGGTGGTGGTGTGTCCGAGGTGCTGGGCGCCTGCTCCAGCTCCAGCTCCCCCCTCTTCTCGGCCCTCTCTCGGCGCCAGCGCCGCTTCTTGGGGGCCCCCTGCGAAGGCGCCGAACACGACGCCGGAGCCGGCGCCCTCCAAGGCGAGGGGCCCTTTTTCTTCTGCTGCAGCTCCTTCGCCGCCTGGGCCAGCGCCTCCTGCTGCGAGGCGACGCGGTCCAACTGCAGGTGAAGCAAGATCTGGTTATTCCTTTCCGCCTGCTCCCGCGTTGGAGCGCTCGCGCTGGACGCTGGCGGTTCCGTGGCAAGGGCTGGCGTCCCCCGAGCCAGCCAGGGCTCCTGGTGAGCCGCCCGCGGCTCCCGCGCCAGCACCTTCTGACGCCCTGGCGCTGGCGGCGGGGTGGGTGGCTTCACCCGGGGCTCCTCCGAGCGCGCCTGCGCAAGCAGCTTCTTGTACTCCGGAAGTGCTGGCGACAGCGGCTGGCGGGGCCACCGAACCCTTGGGCGCAGACCCGAAGCCGAAGAGCTTGAGGACCTGCTCCTTGAACGTGGCCTCAACTCCCTGCTTGACAGGCGCCGAACGCGACTCCTCGTCTCGCAGGGTCTTGGCGATCGCAAGCTCGACGATGTCGGCATCGCGGAGCACGAGCACCTGGCCCTGCATGCCTGTGAACGCCTCGGCCACCGCGCCGAGGCACTCGGGGGAGCAGGCGATCTGCATCGACCGACCGACCGACTGGCCCCCGCGCGCGAAGCCGCTCTGAACCGACGCGCGCGGAAGACTCAAGCAAAGCTTGAGCCCAGAACGGCTACCTTGAGCCAAAATGGCTTGAGCCAAAATGGCTACGGACTCTGCGACGACATTGGACAAGGAACCGCTGGATAATGAATCCATGGTCTGGAAGCCATGTGGACTTCCGTTCGTGGAAGGGCCATGGGGTAACACCGCCGTCCTCATCGGATAAGGTGCCCCCCAGGGTCTGAAGCCTTCTGGGCACGCCAACGCCCCCGCCGCATTTTGTTCATGTCCTCGCCAACGACTGAGAAGCCGCCAGAGATATCAGCAGTCTTGAACCACGCCTCGATCGAACCGATGACCGCGGTCCTGCGCGCCATGGCGGGGGCCGCCGTCTTGACGATGGCCCCGTCAACATCGCGCCTGGACAAAGTCGAATCCACCCGTGGCCGTGGGGGGGGGGCTTAACTGGCCATTGCAAGTTCGTTGCGCGTCGCATACAGAACCGCGCGTACCGTCAATCCAAATCTTGCTGTCCAAACAGCCAACTTTCGAAGCGACGGTGTCGATTTTGGCCTGGAAGCGGCGCTCGATGGAATCGATGTCTGGCCTGATAAATTTCCCCACGTCCATTCGTGCACGAATCAAGGACTTGTTGAGCAGCGGCTTCCAAGGCTTTGATCGCAACAAAAGCTGGTGATATTGCACTGTCAGAAGCTGTGTTGGCGTGTCCTGCCATGATATCGCCCAACCAGACCTTGATACCGCAGAACTTCGAACAAAGCCTCTGATCGAATGACTCCAATGATGTGCGGGCCCCTGAAGTTAAGGTCTACGCCACAATCGCTGCATTCGGGGGCAGAATTACCAGACCCAGAGCGGTCGTCATCACGCCTTTGCGAACCATTTTGGGGTAGTACACGACCAGGGATCATTGTGATACAAATCCATCAAAAAACCCGACATCGAAATAACCACTGCTGGCCTTGGCAGCCTGCTCCATGCGCTTGGCGAAAGCATCGGGCGTGCGGCTGGCGGCAGATAGGGCGGCAAAAACCGGAAACACCTCAATTTACCCACCACCCCGTCTGCCGAGGTGGGGGGAAGTTTTTGCCCCGCCCCGCCAGGATCTCACCAATAACCAGTGTCTGACCGCGAACAGGCGATGCCCACTTCAACCCCAGGGTAGTAGGCATCGTGAGCTTGAATGGCTACGGACGCGAGGATGAAGAGGAGGAGGAGGAAGAGGAGGAGGAGGGGGAGGAGGAGGAGGAGGGGGAGGAAGAGGAGGAGGAAGAGGAGGGATCAGGAGGGATAAGGAAGAGGAGGAGGAGGAGGAGGAGGGGGGGAGGAGGGAAAGGAGGAGCAGGGACGTGGGAAGGAGGAGCTGCGTCCTCCGACGCCCCCTCGAACTCCCGGCGCGGCGGCGGCGCCCCCGTTCCAGACCAGTTTGGGGGCCCTCCGGGCTGCTGGACGTCCGCTTGGCTCGCGGCGGGTGCCGCGGACTCGTGGGGCGCCTCCTCCCGGGGCTTGAGAATCTCCCAGGATGAGGGAGGGAGGGAGAGGAGAGGAGACGACGGAAGAGAGGGATGGAAAGGGGGGAGCGAGGCGGGACGGAGGGAGGGGGGGAAGGAGAGAGAGAGTCAGGGATGGGCGGGGAGGAGAGGGGAGGCGGACGAGGCCGAGGAAAAAGGGAAGGAGGAGGTGGATGAGGAGGAAGCATAATGAAACAGGAGGAAGGGGAGGGCGAGGAGATACAACCCACTGGGGTGCACCCCGAACCGCGGCGCACCCCGTAGAGGATCGACCGCAAAACTGATGCACCCCAAATTTGACATGCTTGTCAAATTCATGAATTACGCGCAGAGAGCGTACACCTACGAACATTCTACGTATGACTCGACGAAAACATGAATTTTAGGGCAAAAAAATGTTGTAGACGACTCCCTAGTCGAAGTGTCTTGACTGCGTGCTGTCCCGGGGGCTCTGGGAAACGGGGTGCACGGACAGGGAGAGGGAGACGAGGGGCCCAAGGAGGACGGAAGAGGAGGGCGGAGGAACAGGAAAATCGGGAAGGAAGGGGGATGAGGATGGAAGGGGAGGGATGGGAAGGAGCAGGAGGGAGGGGGGGAGGGGGATGGAAGGGGAGGAAAGGGGTGGAGGGAGGAGGATTCTTCTGGATTCTCCTGATGCGCAAACACGTGCGACACATGCAACACGGCCACGCGTATCCCCAAAACCCATAGGGGGGGCCCAGGCCTCTCGGCGGCAGCCAGGGCCGCGCCAGCGAGCCGCACCTGCTGGAATACGGCTCGGTCCTTCACCGACGGCCCCATAAAACAAAATCCCGCACCAACACCTCGACGCAGGAGTGGTGATGCGACGACTTGCAAGCGAGGCAGTACGTGATGCCGTTGCCATCGGCGATGCCGTCGAAGCAGATCTCGCACTCGAACGGCCCGCCCACCTCGATCCCCACAGCGTGCACGGATAGGCGCGGCCCATCGGCGCAATCAAGGCACCGCTTCAAGGCAAGCGCCTTCCGCGCCTCCAACCAGTAGGACACGATGGAGGAGGCGTCCTGCAACTCCGTCTCCGCGGCGTCGCCGGAGAGACCCTCACCAGCAGGGTCTTTGACATCCTCGTCGAGACAATGCGCCTCCTCGATCGGCAACTTCTCTAACTTCGTCTGCATCACCTCCCCTTCCTCCGACGCGGCACTACGCGCGGCGCCAAAGGGATCACGCTCACGATCACGACCACGAGGGGCCTTTCAATCGGCACCGCGCTCACGATCACGAGCATGTCCCCCATGCTGACATCCACGTTCATCAGCAGCGTTCGCCCGTAGGACCCGAGGAGCATCGTCAGCGCACCACCGGACACCAGGAACGAATGCCGGCGCCTCAGCCTGCAGCCGAAAGAATGGCCCCAGATCTTGACGGCACTCGACCCGAGGGCCATTCAGCTGACCGTTCAACGTGCGAGTGGACGCCGTTGCCACACTCTGCCCACGCCCATCTCGGCGGCGAGCGAGGGGGATAAATGGCAAAGAGAAGGCCTTCTCAGAAGGCGGCAGGACTTCTCAGAAGCCCTCGCGCCTTCTACGTAAGACGTTTTGTATGTGCTCGGGGAATGCCCAGGAAACTTTTCAAAAGCACCTCCGAGCCTTCTGAAAAGGACCGCCCCTTCTCACTCCCCCCCCTCGCTCGCCGCCGAACATCAGCAAGGGACACCACAATACGGCGATGACCTTCATCGGGCAGCGGCTTGCGGCCCTGCAGCTTGGCCGCCGAACGCGGCGCGATGGACGTCGCGCCATCCGCGAACTCCCTCGACGACCCTCGGCTCCTTCATCCCGGTCCTCTTCTCTTCGATCCTGATCCTGTACTCCGTGAACCTCCCCCTTCTCCTCCTCGTCTTCTTTCACCTCCTTCTCCTCGTCTACTTGGGGGCTCTCCTCCTTGAAACCTCGGGGCGCTTCCTCCTCATGTCTTCTCAGAGTTTCCTCTAACAGGGCCCTTCGGCTGGCACCTCGGGACCTTGACTTTAAACTCTGGTTTAGAGAACGCTCGTCAAGGCGACCGCCCTCGCCCGCAAGACAGATCGCCCCGCGGCAGAGGAGGCCATGGAGAGCGAGGTTGGAATGGGAGGGGTCGGAATTGGTGAGAGGATCTGCCGGCGCGCGCCCGTGGGGAAGCCAGCGCACCTGGGAGCCCGCGGAAGAGAGTGAGTCGCGGATAACTGCCAATTCGATGGAGTTACGACGGTCCGATCTGGACGACGCGGCGTTTTCCGAAAGAGTAACGAAAACAAATTTCGCGCCCACAATGGCCAGGGCGGCCGCCTGCTCACTCAACTTTCAGCTGGGGGACATCACCGCGAAAAACGGCGACGCACCTAGATTCCAGCAGGGGCAATCCACGTCCCCAAACACAGAGTCCCGCCAGAGCACCTGAAGCCACTGGGCCTCGGCGATGGCCCCGCCAAGGGCCAACGTCTCCGCCGCCACCGTGAAACTTAACACCCCCTTGAGACGCTGAGAGCGCCATGAAAGAACTGAGACGCGGGCTCGTTGGTTCGATCGAATCGAGGCGCCGGCGGCCATCGCGATCCAGGCTCCTCGGGAGCCCCCGCGGTTCGCGGCCCCGGGGGCCCGAGGCGCCCGACGCCGCCACAAAAACCAGGGAAAACGGACGCAGGGCCCAGGTCGCCGGCCTCTGTGAGGCCGTGGCCTTCAGGCACTTGCAGACTCGGGTGATCGCTCCTCCTCCTCCTCCTCCTCCTCCTCCTCCTCCTCCTCCTCCTCCTCCTCCTCCTCCTCCTCCTCCTCCCTTCCCCCTCCTCCTCCCCCCCTCCCCCTCCTCCTCCTGGAAAATGGGGCCGTCAGTTCGATGGCGCGCCGCCGTGGGGCACCCGCCAGCGTGTCACACCCGCAGGAGCACGCCGGGCACCCAGAGAAACAAAGGCCGGGCCCCACGCCGACGGGCTCGCTCCCGGCGGCGGCGCCGGCATGGCGCCTGCTAAAAGGAAGCTCCGCCCGCCGCATGCGGGCGACACTCGCGCGCTGCCCGCTGTACCTGGGCGACGACTGCCCGGTGCGAGCGGACTTCGCCGGGAGTCAGGGGCGCGTCAGGATTAGCCCTTTTGGAACGATCCAACGGCATCACGGCGAGCCGTTCACGGATGTATTTCCCTTGATCCACAACCACCCGGTCTCGATGCTGCACTATGTGGCGGCGCGCGAAATCCGATTCGCCCTCCTTCCACTTGCCGAACTTGAACCTAGTCGTAGCGTTCTCTTCTGAACTAACCATGAAATCGGTTTTGCCCGTGATCGCAAGATCGCCAACCTCGGTCAACACTAGTCCGAGAAGGCCCCCCCATCTCTTCACGGCGCAGCCAAAGACAGGGTTCTAGCAGGGACTTCTTGGTGAACCCCTCCCCTTTCAGCCAATCGGTCAGCGTCTTGTGCCGCAACAACGGAGCATCGTTCAGTCCGTAGACTGGCGCGACCAACTCAATGAGCTGGTCTGGTCCGAGGGGGGCTCAGAGCAGGGCTCCACATACATCGATCCGCGAGGACGCTCTAACTTCTGGCGTTGGCAAAAAGCGTTCTTAACATCAACAATGGCGAGCGCCCAGCCAAATGAGGCCGCAATCTGCAGGCGCACGAGCACGCTTTCGGACTGGGGGGCGGGGGCGTAGACCTCTGAAGATTCACTGTCGGGGCCCTGATGGCCGCGCACACGCCGCCTCGATTTCGCGTCGGGTCGGGCCCCAATTCCCTCCAAAGGCTTGAGTCTACGCACTATTCGGGAAGGGGGGATCCTGTCAGCAAAACGCTGGCGCACCGACAACAACTCCTCGGGCGACAGTACTCGCGCGGCTCCAGTATCCAGCATAGCTTCCCACCCCTTAGCATCAGACATCACAAATCGGGCCCGGTCCTTGGGGCTCAGATCTTTCAGCCAGACCTCGGCCCCGCGTGGATTGATCTTGGGGGGGGAGCTGGCTGGGGCGTGCGCTCGCAAAGGAAAGCTCGTTCGGGCCCTCCAGACCTGCGAGACTCGCGAAGTAACCCTGGAACTGGGGGGGGGAGCCCCAACCCAAACCATTCGCGGAGCTCCTCCTGCAGAGCCTCGTCTTGGAGGTCGTCGGGGTCCCGCCCGAGACCATCGCCATCGCCCGCTTCCGCCTCCTCGGCCGACTCTCCCACTTCGGCCAATGGATCGCCTCCGAGGGAGCGGTCGGGCGACCTACTTCGGGCGACGCGGGCGGGGGGGGGCTCTCTCTGGTGGGCGTCTCGCCCTGGGGGCCGATATGTCTCTCCCGGAACCGATGGCGCGAGAGGGGGGGGGGGTCGGCTCTGCTCATGGGAACGCCCTCCGATGGAGCCTCTCGCTCGGTCGGAGCGGCAGAGCGGGCGCCCTCGACCCCCCGTGTCTCGGACGGCCGGGCAGACGCAGCAAGCGCCAGGGGGTGCGCGCCCACTTGCACCACCTCGGCTGGTCTAGGAGGCTCGCTCGGGGGGCCAGGGAGGCGGTCAGGCGCCTTCAAAACGCGCACCCAGACCCCTGGGCGGAACTGGCGCTGCTGGCGCGGCCTGGCGCGCGCAGCCTCAGCTATCCTAGATCGAGCGCCTAAGGTCGCCAGGGCGCGGCGGGCCCCCTCGCGCGCTCGATGCTGCCCAGCAAACTCGCCAGCGGCGGCGTCCAAGTCTACGGCGCGAGCGGAGACATCCTCAGTTTCAACAAGATCGATCAGGTCATCGGATAAAATGCTTCGGGGCACCCTGGGGTTCTGGCCGACCCCCCCCCCCGGTGGAAGCTTCGGTTTTTCGCAGCCACCACCTCGCAGAGAAGCAAATCAGTTTCCTCCCGGGAAGTTGGGGTCACCGACGTCGCCGCCTTAGACAGGGCATCTTTAACAGGCATCCGCGCCTGTCGCACTTGCCGTTCTGGTGAGGGGAGTTGGCGGGGATAACGTGTTGCATGACTCCGAGGTGCTCGCGCCCCCC